ATTTAGATTCAAGGAACAGTGGTTTTGGGAACGTTTTCTTAAGCGCTGAATCCACCTCCAAGCATTTTCCAATGGGAAAAGATCTGAAAAATTATCTACGATACCCTTGTCACTGCTCAGCGACTTAGCAGTTTGCGCATGCGACACAGTAGTGCTTCAAAGACGCGACACAGTAGCGCTGCAAAGACGGGTTACACAATCGCGTACCTTGCTACTTCGCCGCGCTTCAAAAACGCCTAGTGAGAAGGGGCTCTAAGAGTAGATAAGTGATCATTTTACCGGCAAAGGTAGATAAAATGCAACACATCATTGTCATTCTTATTAAAAATAGGACGCGGAGCACGATATGAATTGAGAATCAGAACAGAATACGATATTGTTTCTATGGAAAACCAAGGCTTGCTATTTTGGACGTCTAAATTAAATACCTACAGAATATTAAAAGTTTTATAATGATCTGTATGGCTTCTGCAATAAAATAAAGTTTTGTATTATACACGACGATAAAGGGAAAACATCCCTTTATCGTCTTGTATAATAAATAACTAAAAAGACTGTGTGCAAGTAATTTTAAAAAGCAACTTTTTGGACTACATCAAATAAGACTGCAAAACAGCTGTAGGTAAATACGCTTTGAACTCAACTTGAACCGCACGGCCCAAATTTCTACTAAACATTATTAAAGATTGCTTCAAATATTCCTTTGATATCTAAATGTCATTCAGTAACAAGTAAGTTCTAAATTAGATCCCTACGAAAATCTCGTAAGTAAATCATTTGCAGCATTTGTAGCAATTTGTCTTATTAATGACTCCTTAAAATGCTCCCTTGATTACATTCCTAACAATAATGCCAAGGACATTTCTATGGAAATACTAAAGCGATTTCTGAGAAGGTTGCCCAAAGTGTTAAATATAATCCCAAGATCATTCATAGTATGATTCCTAAGCAAATATTTAAGGAAAGTCAAGACTTGGTTCACTTGGTTGTTTCAAGAAGCTTTACTAGCATGATTCCTTTGAAACGCCCATCAGCAACAATAATGCAATATATCTTCTCTCTTCGGGGAAGAATTACACTAATTAGTAATTACATATTAAACGAATGTAAATGTTGTAGCATTACCGACACAAAGACTACAACAAATAATTCACGAAAGAGAATAGATATAGGAAGAGAAAACATGTTTTTTTTAAATTTGTAAAGGTCTACGTTCCGACAGTGTGACAGACACACAAAAAACAGTAGTAAATCGTTCATGCGAAACAGGCAAAAGTGCAATGAATCTTTTACATGGTAGGTATACGCTCGCTCTTCCTTATATTTGTTATTGTTGCTTTCCGTCGTGAACGCGCATTTTTGAGTTATTTGTCTACGCTATTAGATGCAATTACAATCACCATTACTTCTTGGCTAGTGTAGCCACAAAGATTCGTTTAGTTCAACACTTTAATTGTTGTTTATATTGTAGTTGAGGTAATAAAAACAAATTTAGGTTACACAAGCTAATTTTTGCACTCCTGTTCGTAGAGATATTAAAATATGTGCTTGTCTATTCCATTAAAGGTCCTGACGGCACAGATTTATGAACCACTTTCGTTTGTAAAGAATCACAGATGTAAATGAGTATATATTTTGTTAATAAAACATTATAAGTGAATGCAGTATTTTGTAGAAAATGAAGTAAGCGTTGTTCAAGTTTGACAGTTTAGCATTTTGTACTAATCAATAAACAATTTAACGTAAAACCGGTGTTTCTTTAACGTAGTAAATGTACTTTATTTTACATATTTTAAATACAAAGTGAAATAAGTAAATAAAATGATTCTTTTAGAATTCATGAGAATTATCCGACAAATATATGAATATTTTGGATGCAAGTTTACTGAATTTATGAGAGAATGTAAAGGCTTCAATGAGGACACAAGAAACTGACCACAATGACTGGCAGTTTCTGTACCAAGCCACTTCTAGTACAGTTCGCCCTATAAATCCATTATGTTCTTCAGACGAAGACATACCTCATAAATTTGGTTTCAAATGCTTCCTCCAAGCCGACAGCTATATAGACGAGGCGAAATAAAAATAAATATAATAAATAGAGACGAAATTAACCACCTTTTGCAAGGCGCTCGTCTTCAAGGAATAGTCGCATTCGGGCGCTCAAAAGTTACCTTCCGGTAAGAATTTTTTCACGCGGTTTAAAGTTTCTTAAAAAGCTCGAATCGCGGTCTCCTTTTCTCGTGTCGCCAATAGGAGCTCGAGCTATGAGAAGGGCCCCAAAAATTGAGTACTATTTTGTGGAGGGTGTTTTAGTGAAAACCACCAAAGGAAATGTGGTAGCCTTCGACAAAATTTTAATGATTGTGGAGTCAAAACTGGCTAATCTGCCCCATAAAAATACGCTTAAGTCCCTTCGATCTCACACAAGGACTTCGATGATTTTTACAAATCACATCCTCCAAAGTTGGACGGAGTTGAGGGGATTGGAATGACCTATAAAGGAGATCCCAACTTCATGCGCAAATGATCCTCTAAACTCAATCATAGGAGGTTTTTAAAAGAAGGTATATACTTAAATGGAAGTTTTATAAGATTTCCAAGAAAAGAGTCATAAATTTCCCAATCGCAAATAGTCTTTTTAAGATAATTGTGCCTACATTTGTTTTGACATTGTCGATTTCATTTCTCTTTCAGCATGGATCTGGGAACCACTTCCATCTTAAGTACGTAAGATAAGTATGAAAAGGTATTTGATAGCTGAGTGCTTTTACCTCGGCTTTTACAAAATATGTGATCTTAATAATTAAGATATTAGAATTATTCTAATATATGACAACTATAGTATAGCAAATTACTCTGTGATAAATTTATTTAACTGTTTGTTTGTATGTATGTATGTTTTCCTTTGTGATATATTTGACAATATTCGTTTAGATACAACTGGACAATGTCTATGTCAATGTTTTGTTGATCACCAGACAATAAATTATTATTATTATGGTCGGTGTTTCTTGTGAGAACTCAGGTCTAGCCTGGTTAACTAATCGCACGGATTAAAATCAAGTAACGATTAGTGTCTGTGTCTGTGTCTGGTGAAGTTATGTAGGGTCCTTAAAAAAAAATCACACACGTACATTGGACATCTAGGGATAGTATGTAATTCGTACTTACCAACATACCTATTGATGGGCACAATAGCCAACGCTATCAGGAAAGAGGAAAACAAAACAAAAAAATCATTATAATAATTCCTGTAATTTTATAAAATGGAGTTTATTGTGTAAGTGTTTCTTTGGCTTTGCGTTTGGGTTGAATACGAGTGGGTTGTGATAACGTGGTGTGTTTCTGTGAAGAAGGAGTTTTGTTTTTTAATTGTATTTATGGTGTTTCTTTGTTCCTGAGGTCGTATTTGTGAGGTTGCTTGGGTTTTTGGTGGAGATATTGCAGTATTTTGTGAGCCTGTGGTGCTGTTAAGTTTTTGCGCTTCGGTTGTATACGAGTGGGTTGTTTCTGAGAAGAAGGAGTATTGTGTTTTTTAACTGTGCTAGGGCGTGTAACTTTATTGGATGGACCTGTCTTTGTAGTACATGTTGCGTTACTTGTATTTATGGTGTTTCTTTGTTCTTGAGGTTGTATTTGTGAGGTTGCTTGGGTTATTGATGGAGATAATACAGTATTTTGTGAGCTAGTAGTGCTGTATAGGTTTTTGCGTTTGGGTTTATTATTATTATTATTATTATCCACTAAAGCGAAGCTCTTCCTTATTATTTACACATTGGCAAGTTTCAGTTTCTTCTATCTTATTTTAGTATAACTTAGGCTTATAGTTGAATGGTTTGGTAAACATTTTTCGCAAGTTCATATCTCTAATGAGGGTCCACATTATACCTACCCAAACATTTTTTGTATCTTACTGTGTCTTAATTGCGCTCGTTTGTCAATTTATGCTCATTATTTGGGTCTCCAAAATTCCAGTAGAAGCTAAGTGAACGTTTAGCCCCCAAAAAATTAAAATTTTTCACTAAACGACAGTATTGCATACTACTTTCGTACTACTTTTATTGTGCTAGCTGTGCTTTATGCTCATTGGTTAGCACTTAAAAAAATTCCCCAAAATTAAATTTCTTCATAACTAAACTGGGATCTTGTCCTAAATGCCTCTCTTCTAACCCAAATATATTGAAAAAGGAAAAACAGTCAAGTCAACACGTGTTCTCTGCAATTTTTCCTCCATTGTTATACGGGAAAACTTTAACTTGTTAAACAATCTACTTGTGTTCAGTGAATGAAATGGTCTCCGCCAATTCGTTTTAATGGAGGGGGGCTCAGCGAACAGGCCCTCTAAAATCTAAATGAATATCATTATCTTCGACAGTTCGACTGTCACTAATGGATGTTCTTTGGACAAATACGGAAACGTTGCCTTATAAATAAATCACAAATCCACCCTTATTTTTCCACTTCGCCATTGTCGTAATTCAATCACCACATGTAAAAATGACAGTTAAAAGAGAAAAGGGTGTCCGTGTTGATCGTTTTGAGATAGGGAGACCAGCAGTAATAACAAACGACGTCTGCTAAATGAAAAGGCTAGAAACGGAATTATTTACGTTAAAGCTTAACGTAAATCACTCACTCACTAGTCATAATCTACTAAACTGTCTCCACCTAACTCCATTAGAGGTAATTAGCGTCGGGGTCCCTCCTACTTAAACTTAAGAGAAACTTTAGAAGACGACTTCTCCGCCTTTCTATATCTAATGTTAGCCTCATAACTTGCACCAAGTTAATTGTACTTATCTGTTGCAGCAATTTTGATTGATGCGCGACGGAAAAAAAGAGTCGCTCTACAAAAGGTGAGGTCAAGTGTGGTGCTTACCAGGATACTGCCACAATGTAGGAGTAGCTATGGTGGAATTGTGCGATCCACTGAGAGACCATGCTGCTAATCCTGAAGTTCGATCTTCCGTACACTGTAAAACAGCTCCGCCTCCTGAAACGCCTCCTGTCGTGCCCGCAGCCATGCCAGGCGTCGAATCTGACAACATTTGACATCAGCACATGCAAGCGTATCAATCGAGGAGGGAATTTTATAAGCCGATTAAAGCGTAATTGGATCTAATCCAAGTGTAAACTAGGGCAGATTTCAATGACGGATAAAGAAACACTTACCCAGCTCCGACAACCTGGACATCCTCGTCGTCGAGTTGACGGTTGTAAGAAGTCCAGCGGGTGGCAATGAGGGCGACGACACGATGTCGTGATGTTGGACCCTTTGCCGTGCAACGGCAATTCCAACGGGAATATTCCCTGAAAGAACTGAAAGTACAAACTAGCCATCCATTTTGCTACACTTACCATTCGTCGTAACTACCGAAGGCATCGCGGCAACCGAAATGTCCGTATTCTTATGCGTCGGCGATGTCACTTCGATCTTGACCACCGGCGAAATGCTCGTGGTAATCTCGGCGACCTGGCATGGATTCGATCCGGGCTCCTTTTTCACGCTAACAAGACTCCAGTCGATCGGATTCGTTCTGCTACAACCGGAGGAGCTTTCCGCGTATTTCGGTTTGGACGTCGGCGAATGCTGGCAGATGCACGGCTTTTCCGATTTCACCTTGTAGCACTTTTCCTCGCACTTCCTGTCGAGTTTCTTGGGCGACAAGGGCACATCGGGCTGATGGAATATGATGTTCGACGAATTAAAGCCCTTCGTGAATAGCTCCAATTGCGTGGCGGTCACGGGGGAGTACGGCGAACCGGGCGGTGGCGTCGGGGCACCAAAAGTGTAGCCGGTCGAGGAGAAGAGAGATTCTGCAAAGAAATTCTGTATTAAAACGAGTAACTGTAGTGTCAATATTTGGACGAGGTTACCATGCCATTTGATAGTTAATAACATTACGTTTACGATGGCATAAAATTTACGAATTCAGGCCCGTTGACCCCTAAAAGTAATTAAGAATTTGCTTTTACGTCAAGTTTGAATCTTAATTATCCAAAGGACGTAAGTTTAGCCGGTTTTAGCTTTCTATCGCGTTCTGTTAGGTTTAGCCTTGGTAACCCTTTTGCATTACGATTTAAACAGCGCACACGTTTGAATTTCCCTTGTGACCACAGACAGACTTTTGGAATTTTGGGAAATCCAGTACTAAATTTTCCCCAAGAGCCTCCTCATTTAAAAAGTTTAAAATACCCAGAAGCCTAACGTATCCTTACATGTTAAACCCAATAAAATTTTTTAAGACAGATACTTATATTCTTAGTTCTCTAAGGAAAACTTTCTGTTTCCTTTAAAAATTCTGAAAAATGATTTCCCAAGGAATTTTATTAGAAACCTTTATGTAAACCTTCTATAGAGAAGTCACTTAAAACCCCTTTTTAAAATATTTTCAAAATTAACTTCTTCGAAGTTCTTTAGTGACCATACGCATGCGCACACCTGATGTTTAAAATATGCGATATGCTTGTCTTTACTAGAAGCATCTGTTGTTAAAATTTCAAAAAAATATCTCCATAAATAAGAAACCTTACACGACACGACATTAATGACGACACCTAATGCTGGAATTGATCTCGAATCTCAACTATAAGCTGGAAAATCCCGAACGAGGGCTTATTGTTACCTGTCTCAGGGGTGAGACTAGCTAACACAAAAACTCTTCGATTTAGAATCTATTTTGTGCGTTATAAGTTGCGATTAATTAAATTCCACATTTCCGCACTTTGAATTTTCCGTTTTCACCTGTTATACAGCTACCTTGTTTCCTACCTGCTTGTACTCTAACGTCTAACCAGTTCTTTGTTCTGCAACTTGCTTTAACCTGTCTCGAAATCGTGCTTTGTGCATGTCATTTATGTCATAATTTATTATCAATAATTTTTCCTATTACTTATCCGAGATTATTGACGAATAAAATAATTGATCAAAATACAAAGGCTAATTAAAATACAAATTATATACGCCATCACGCTTATGGATGGCCTTTACATAATAACGTAAAGGTGCTGCCTTACCTTAGATGTTTGATTACATGCCACTTTTCGATTTCAAATTAAAGCGGGATCCGTTGAGTTTGTGGAGGAAATAGCGATTCCGGAGGACAATGTTAAACGTTGCCCGTTTGATTTTATTTCCATGTTATTGTAGTATGAATTTGGCGTAGAGCCTCGGGGTTAAGTAGGTACACTACAACCACCTCAGACACTTTTTCTGGTCTTGGAAAGCTCTTCAAAGTTTTTCTTTAACATTGTTTGCACCGAGGGGAAAATCACTGTAGAATTTTGGTGTACACTACTAGCATTTTGTAGAATTTTCTAAAAATTCTCTATAATTTTCCACAATTTTTGTAGAATTTTTTTTAATTCCCTTTAGAATTTTTTTAAATTTCTTTTAGAATTTCATTTTGTAAGTGGTTTACCCCTCGGTTTGCTCATCGACCGAAAAATAAAATTTTCACTAAATCTAATAGATTCTGCCCCATAAAAATCAACAACGTGAGCACTACACATAAAAGATGAGCTACCAAACCAATTTGACAAACATTTTACAAAAAGATCGATTCATTAACACAATTGGCAAAAAAAGTTTTGCCTCTAAAATTGAGCGGAAAGTCTGCCAACCGAAACAAAATGTAAAAAAATGAGAGCCGTCAAAATCCAACCACTACAAAAAAAAAACGACTTAATTTGTAAAACAAAACAAATAAAATAAAAAAAACTCTACGTCAACCAAAGAAACGACATTTTTTATAGCTTTGGCGTTAAAATACCAAAAAATCATAACCTTCAAGGCCTGGCCACTACATAAAACAGAGCTGAAAGATCTTACATGGATTCGTAGAAATATTTCGAGAGGTATTTCTAACCATTTTATTAAAAATATTTACGCAAATCTTCTAAAAAAAACCAAATGAAATAAGTTAAAATCGAGAGGAAAAAAATTGCCACACATCGGCCGATTAATGCATTATTTTCGATGATTTTTAGCATGTAGTATCAAAAAAAATCAAAACCGCACAAGTAAAAAGTAGGCCCATTAAACCAATTTATAAAAAAACAAAGCTTTGCCTATAAAATCGATGAAAAGATTGTTGTATAAATAAATAAAGAATTAGAACTGTCAGGATATGCCGTAAAAACTCTAACCACTACAAGAAAATTAGAACCATGGAACCAATGTAAAAAATAAATGTTGCCTATGGATTAACAATAAAAAAAAAACAAATAAAATCATACAGTTTCCGCAGCGCTACCCAAAAAAGAAATTGTCTTATAGATTTTATCCTGTAAAATAAAAAAATCACAACCTCTAAAATCTATCGGAAAGGTTGTCGCAGGTCGATAGAAAAAAGTCTGGTGTATTTTGTCCGGTAGAATCCAAAGAAATTGTAAGCGTCTAGATCTGAAGTCTTCTCAAAAATACTTTTAGAGACTTTCTTGGAAACTTCTACATCTTGAAGAAAATCTCCTCGAAATCTACCAAAGAATTTTTGTCAAGATCCAGCTGAAAACCTTATGAACTTTTTCGACCGCGTGCTAAAATTCTCGAAAAGATTACTATTTCTCTTTAATGATCAAGAGAATTTTCTTCACATGCATAAGTGGGTAATAATTGAGCAGATTTAGATTAATTAGGTAGGAATTTTATTGCCACTATCCCGTGCCATTCATTATTGGCCATTATGATAAAACTAAGTGCTTACCACCTGCTTCCACTGATCTGCATCAGTCTCGGCATCAGTCTTTCAAAATTACTGCGCCGTATTACAATAGACCTGTAGCACTTTGAACCATTACAATTATTAAATTAAATCTAATTTATTGCTCTGAAGGTAATGATTATTTATGCACATAGGTAATCAAAATGGCAGTAGAAATAAATTGTCATTATCTCGATTGGTTGCAATTAAAGGTGCAATAATTTTTTCCTATTTAATATGGGGGATATTTAACCGATATTTACCCTACAAATATGAAAAACTGCAGGAAAATTTAATTTGGAGTAGCCGGCAGATTGCTCGAAACTGATCTAAGGAAATTTCCCATCTCTGCCACATATGAAAAATTCTCACCTCAACCCAGGTTCGAATGGAACATCCGACCTTCCGGCTATGTAGCCCAACGCTCTACCAGTGAGACTCATAGTCGGATGATCCCTATTATACCTCAAGGAAATTGGCCTGGCCCTTGCCCCCATGCAAAAAATTAAAACCCGCAGCCCCTGTCTGTTAGGCACTCTATTAGAAATTTTTAGTCCATTTCCTACGGTCATTCTGCTCGGGAAAATACCCATAAATGTTTAATGTGATTGTTGGACTCAGGTTCTTCTTAAAGCATTCCTGTGCTGTTCTAGCTATGAAAATGGTAAATAAGGCTCTGTAGGAAATTCTGAAAGTAACTATAGTCAACTTGCTACCTGCTAAACGTCAAATCAAAGTAAGGAGTTGTAAATATCAAAAGAAACTGCCAATTCCTAAGTATGCTTTGCTGTTTTCTATAGTCTTGACACTTGGCCATAAGGAGAATGGCATGACTTAATTGAAAAAATGATTATGAAACGGAACCTAAAGCAAGCCAGTAGCGACAGTAATGAAGACGAGAGGAGATTATTACGGACGTCCATTAAAAATCGTTGGTATGCTACACGCCCGCGGCGAAATTTTTGATTAATCGATCGCATCTCGCAAATGAAACTTACAAAAAAAGCGATTTACGTGGAATAAAACTTGTTGCATATTTTCATGCGCCATCAGATCGCAAAAAAAAAGGTTGCCTTTTGTCCGTATAATTACGGCCGCGCGCAAAACCTTCGATACTATCGTCTACAATTCTAAAAACGTGCATGGTATATCGTGTAACGAAACTGTCAACTAATCATTCTTAACTGTCAAGTTATATACAAAAGTAATCTAAATCGAGCCGGAAACGGCCCGCCCTGACTGTTTCTACCGGAAGTCATGACCAACTTAATTCCCACTTTGCCGGGATGAATTTACATGTAGCTTGCGACTGTTACTGTTTATATTTGCCACCAAACGCCTTGTAGTTTTTTTTTTCATTAGCTCCTAAGGGATTTGTATATTCGCAGTGGTGGATTTAAAAAAAGGGAAAGGACTGATTAAAAGGTAGGTATATTTATTAGGTGCTATAAAACGGCATTAATGTCAATTATCGTCATCTGCTTTTGAATTTGTGTACGCCGCACCGAAGAGCTTTATTTAATTATGATTTACTCACCTAATACCTTTTATTCTGATCTGATGAACAGTAAACACAGAAAAGAAACTTTCCAATTATTCTTTGAAGAAACGTTCCCGCAAAACCCGCCTTACTTGAGAGACATTTCCACTTCCCCATTGAAGGATATCGATTCATTACAAGCAAATGATTTTCCCGGATTTCAGAACATCTTCAGTTATGTCAAATGATTTCATTAAACTCTAAGTACGCGGATGCAATACTCCAATTAAACGTTTCAAATGACATGGAGTTTGTGATTTACAGGGTGTAAACAGAACTAGAGAACGCGATTTTTCTCGAACATTTTTAAAGATACAAAAAATCTTTCAAATAAAATTGTTAGTGTTTCTAGTAAGCTACATAAATTAATGTAAATCAGAAAAGAAAATATTTTAATATTCGGAGATATACCTATTTTTGACTTTTTTTAAGTGGTACGTACTGTATATTTTTATACTATTTGGTATTTTTACTTTAAAAAAGTTTCATAAGTTATACCTTCTAAACTTAATAGAATTCGAGATATTAAAGATAATATTAAATAATTTTACTGGAAATTAAAGGCTGGCTATGGA